CGGACTGGTTCTGGACTCGTCTGAGCATACTTCACTATTTAGTTGCTGCTGTTTTTAGTTGAAAATGTTTTTGCTGTATTTCCAGTTTCGTTCACCAGTTTTAGCATCTGTTAAACATAAAAACCTACTTTTAAATAGAACCACTGGAAAACTGCTTTTATTCCATGGATTTGAATGGGACCCGTCAAAATGACTGCTCAGGAAGTGCCAGCAGTTTCAGCAAAGTGGGAGTCATAGAGATAGAAAACCATTGCTCTTGAATCGAACTCTGGGATTGATTATAAACTAGGGCTGTCAAAATTATCGCGTTAACTCACGTTAATTACATTTTTCATTAACGCGTTAAAAAAAAATTAACGCATTAATGCATGTCTGAATGACTCGCCCATTTATCCATAATATCACTCAGAATGCTGCGTGTGAGATGGATCAGAGCAGGTAGGCCCTCTGGGGATTCATGTTTTAAAAGAATACGCGCGCCACCGCGGGGCTGTTGTTTGCTGTGAACTGAAGTCCGCCTCCTCCGTGGCCGCTCTGACTGTGAGCCGCTCACAACAACACGGCTGTGAGCGGCTGTGAGTGAGTGGCGCCGCGGTAACATGGTCATAAGACCAAACACGCCACACAACTATTGTCTGCATGTTGTGTTCGTGTCTTTGCAACCTGTGCGTAACCTGTGCGCGCAAATACAGCGCAGGAGTGTCCCTGTCTCCTCCTGAAACTAAACTAAACTGAAACGCTGAATTAAAGCTGGGGTATGTAAATTTCCCCCTTTCATTAACAGCTCATGTTGGTTTTGCCCAAAAGCAAACAGATTTAAGTACATTTGGTATGAATGACAATGTGTCATATATTTGATAATCTCATTTAACTTCAATTGGAGTGGATTTGAAATAGAATGTTAAAAATGCGATTAATCGTGAGTTAACTCACCATTTCTGTGCGATTAATCAACTAAAAAAATTTAATCGTTTGACAGCCCTATTATAAACACATCGTCCGTAAACGTTTGAACAGCAGAGCATGAAACATTTTCTATCGTCATGGTGATTACAAACAACAGCATTAAAGTTGGTATGTGTAATTCTGTAACGGTACCTTCTTGCTGGGCAGCGCTCCGGGGGTGGAGGACATTGGAATGGCTTGAATCCGGAGCTTTGTCCATTCTGTGTTTAAAACATTGGTCTGCTCCTCGATCTTCTTTCTGTTCGTCATGTACTGGTTCTGGAAAAGTCACATTTGCAACATATCAAAAATAAAAAGACAGTACATTTTTTTGATTCTCTCCACACGATGATGACGGCAACGAGACCCCGAACACACTGGAGCATCAAAACCTCGGACCAAACACCATCCATTCACTCACTCATTACATTCAGGATCTATTGTGCATTTTTTAAGTGGTAGGGGAAACCGGAGCACCTGGAGGAAACCTACACAGACACAGGGAGAACATGCAAACTCCACACAGAAAGGCCCTGTTGTGGTGGAATCAAACCCAGGACCTTCTTGCTGTCACACACAAGCTCTAACTGCGGCCACAATTTAAATGTTCTAGTTATTTATTTATTTTTTTACCAAGACCAGTAAAAATGTCTGTAAAAGTGACGTTTTTTTCTGCAAAGCTATTTTTTTTGTTGTTGTAAACAATCGACTTTTCATCTCGACAAGTTTTGTTTGTGTCTATCGTGATCCTGTGATGGGAGACCTCTGTGAACACCAGGTGCAAAGTGAGGCGTGGCTGAAAAGTGCAAAATGTCATTGTGCCCTTTGGCAAGACACTTCGGCCACGTGTCCCAGTGTGAGTCTGGAGTGTGTGTAAATGTTTGTTCATGGTCTGCCAACTTAACTCAATCCTTTTTTGGCGTTATGGCCGATATAAATGATGAAAAATGGGTTGTTTTAACCAAAAGATGGGACGAACACACGAGTCTTTCCATGTTCATAAAGTGCCGTTCAAACACTGAGAGTCACGCAGCACTTTACGACTTTTGAAACTTGTTCTGCAAAGGAAATAGAGAGGTTCTCTTGAGTGTCCGCAATAAAACAGAACTATTTTTTTTTTACATTTCTGTTAAGAGTCCAGTTTCCCTGCGTTCCGGCTCTTCCATAAATCACACCACAGCGCACACTCGTAACCGTGACAACAACAGCATACAGCCACTTACACTGAAAAAAGTTGCGAAGTCTAGAATTGCTCAAATTTGGCAAAATGTATCTTCATTGGAGCACATTTGGACTGCCTTAGAACAGGATTTGCAAATGGGACAAGAAAAAGGTACAAGAAATGTCTCCTTTGGAATGAGAAAATAAAGCAGCAGTTCTTTAAAGGAGTATTAGTATTAGATAGCAATATGGCCTACGTGCAGGACTCTACAAGGACTCTACAAGGACTCCATGTTATGACTATGATTTGACTGTCTCTTTGTGACACGTATGTCTTTCGATGTGTGACGTGACAATGACTATATAAACTGTGTACTGCCTTTATTCTGTCTGAGGGAAAGAAACAGAGTAAACCAGTGGAACTTGAGAGCAACTTAAATAAACTTCCAGAGTTTGGCACACCACGATCCGTCTCTGTCTGCTAAATCCTAACAGATTTGGTGGAGAATGCGCGGCTCCGTGTGTGCCATTCTCTGGATTGTTTTGAGGGAGTGTTCTCTGTTTCTTTTTTTCGGCGTGTGGGAGCGACAGCACGTTATCTGGAAGGGGAGAAATCCCAGCGGACGCTGAAAGGGCTCGCTTTTGGATGGGCTTGCTCTTGCTCCCTCACTTTCTCTGTTTTGTGTTTAAATTGAATATTCCGACGCGGAAAAGAGTTGGCAGACCTCTCGGACAGTCCTTGGAACCGGTTTGACAAGAATAAGGTAAGCAGACACCTTTTTTAATATGTAAAGTCTGCATAATTGGATATTAGCTAAATTTTGGTCTGTTTTTTGGGGTCTGTCAAACTCTCTAAATTGTATTTTGAAGAAGTCTCGGGGTTAAAGTCCCTTTGAGCCTCGGGGTTAAAGTCCCTTTGAGAAAGTCTCGGGGTTAAAGTCCCTTTGAGAAAGTCTCGGGGGTTAAAGTCCCTTTGAGCCTCGGGGTTAAAGTCCCTTTGAGAAAGTCTCGGGGTTAAAGTCCCTTTGAGAAAAGCCTCGGGGTTAAAGTCCCTTTGAGAGAAACCATGGTGAATTAAAAGTAATTATAAAAAGGGAAACGTTAAACACTAAAGAGTGCCTTTTGTTACTAGTGTGGAAAGTGATCACTTCTAGATTTGGATGACAAAAGTATAAAAGAACAACATCAGTTATATTCGCTTAACAAAGTAATCTTGAAAGTTCTTCTTCTGTATCTTTTTGCCTGTGTGTGCACATCTCTATCTGCTGCCGTTGTCAGGGAAACGGCCCCCTCCTTCGCTGCTCTGGCTGTGAATCTGAAGCAAAGCTACTGCTTTAGGAATTTGGCTTTTCATAGTTGTTATTCCGTTAAATTTGCTAAATTTGCCATTTGAACATTGTGTTAGACACAGTTAAACGTTTTTAAACACCATTAGTGAAGAAGTTTTGAATTAGTATGTTTTTGAAACCCAAAGATTAGTACAAAAAGCTTTGCTTTTCTTTTTAAATCTGCTGCTTATTTTGTGAGTCCATTATTGTATCTCTGATATATTTCATAGCTGTTTGTGAGAATTTTTTCATGTATTTTTTATTTTAGTTACAAAAGCCGTTTTTCAAACATTTAAATTAGAATCTGTTAAAAGTGATTAATGATTGTAGACTTCGTCTAAAAAAGAAAGAGGGAATTAGGCTGTAAAAGTATTATATTATTAAGTTAAACTACCCAATTCACCCAATTCACATTCAAGCGGTGACTTTTGTTTTTGTTTTGACTATGCACCTGACCTTCCTCCTGCTGCAGATGCACGCAGCACAGGAGCCTGGTCTAAAATGTGCTCCAATTCATACTGACTTCATTTGAAAAATGCTGCAATTATTTTAAATTAGTAGAATAGATGCTGAGATAAATAAGTGTAAAAGGGAAAGTCCATAAAGTGAAACCCAAGATGTTCAAGATTAAAAACATCACACAGTACAAAAGTACATAATACATATTTTAAAGTTTAAGAAGGTTTAAGAGATTTGAGTCTTGTTTTTTTATATTGAGAATTTCTGGTTTTAAAATGTCATCATTAGTAAGATAATAAGTAATCTTTATTTACATAGCGCTTGGGAAAGCCAAGAGCGCTTCAAAATTGTTTAGACTTCAGGGAGAAAAACAATCTCATTCACAATCTCTGTTGTTTTTAATTTGACTATAAGGTTGTTTTCCAGAACCAAGAGCACACACTGTACAGGGTCACTGGACTGCTGGAGTGGACACTGGACAGCGCAACGCCCACCCAGCCACAGGTCACAGAGCTAAGAGCAAAGGGAAATGCCACCTCCTTGCCCCTCCCCCCACTACAGAAGTAAGTGGGAGTGAGACCGGGGCCATGAAAGAGAGGTGTCTGGAGACGTGATGGGTGGAGCATCAGGGAAAGACCTGAATGAGAGTTGAGAGTGTGTCCAGTTGGTTTGCATCACCACAGTGTGACCTTTTGACACCTACAGGTGGTTCGAGGAGTCTTGAGACACAACCCCAAAATTCACACACACACATACACTCACACATTCACATTTACATATAGATACATGAAAAAGCAGAACATGAGAAAAAAGCATTTTAAAAGTTTACTCCAATGTAAACACATATTTTTAATTGTCTATCACTTGAATCTTTAGTTGAATCAGTATTTTTTGAGACCAGAAATGTTCATTTGAATTCTATATTGTCATGGACATAATTGACGTCTGTCCTGACACTTTTGATTTGTTGATTTTGTACTGTGTGAAGTAATTACATTGATTAGAATTAGATCTGATAAAAATACAAATTAGAGAAGTAAACTGAATCATTGCGCTTGCTTTTTGTCTGAGGGACATTAGCAACAGCATGAATAGAAATTGTGTTAAAGTAGAATCAAAGTGATTAACCATAGAGAGTAACTATTGCATAACAAGCTGTGTACAGGAACTGAGACACTGCACCATTGACCAGAAGTGCATCGCAAATGACCTGATGTGCTTCAAGTGAAAAGACTGTATCTGGAGATCCGATGTCCATCTGGAGTGACCAGAGCCATGGCTTGGACCCTACTGATGTCCAAGATGACATCTCTCGAAATATGACCTGACCTGATGACGACTGAGACTCAATCTGAGGATCTGAGGACCTGAGGACCTGAGGACCCTGAGGATCTGAGGACCTTGGAGAGAAAAACTGGGGAGTGATGTTTATATTATTGAAATCATACATTGATGAGTGCTAAATGAGAGAGATACTCATGATTCTTTCTTTTGTTTTCGTTTGTCCCTAGCTTCTGGACATCTGATGATCTATTGGACACAGACATTTGCAGAACAAGAACCAGCCAATGAAAACGTCTATTGCCGATGCTATTGCTACAACCAGAACCTGTGACCAAATGCAATATAAATGTTAAGTATTCAGACATCTGACAGACAAAAACTTTGAAAATGATAAAGTATGAGTATTGTAGCGTTTTAGTAGATGTTAAATAGTAGTAAAAAAGTAGAATTGTCCTTTCTTTGTTGTTCATAAACACATTTCCACGTAAGAGTTAAAATAGTTCCATAAAATGTTATCTTTCTGATAGAGCAGCTAGAATATTAGAATCAGAGTTATGTTAGAGATATTAAAAGTGACAGAAGTCACAAATTAGAAATATGCCTTTGCTCAAACTGCAGCCAAACTTTGGAGCCACAATAGTGTAGAAATAGAATTAGATAAATGCATCAACCATGGATGCTTTCAAAAATAGAGATTATTTGTAGCCAGTGCTAATATCAAATGGTAAAGGGACCATTTCAAAAACCTTTGCTTCAAAAGTAGATAAAGTTCATATGAGTGTAGCCTAGATTAATGCCTAGATCAATGAGATAGATTACAACCAACAGAGATTCAAAAGCATTTAAAAGCATTTTGATGCATTTGGGTATAGCCCACTGTCGATTCATCAGAACAGATTAGAGAATCAAACACCATTGTAGAATAACTGACCCCAACCCCAAACCTGCTAAAATAGATTAGCTCTTGTAAGGATAATACTAATTTGATTAATGATGTACATTCATCCCAACTGCCTGACAATAATATCTTTAGATAATAAAAAGTAATAAATCACTGACCACTATAGAAGTGTAAATGTTGACCATTTGTCTTTCTGTGTTCACAGTTTTATTCCTGAGAATGTAGAATAGACATGGAGCAAAATCCCACTGATAATAAGCCACTGATAATGAAAGTAAACTAAAGAGAGATTTATTAGATTAAAATGTATGTTTAAGAATATGGCTCAATAGAAGCAAATATGCAAACATATTTGTAAATAGATTAGAATAGTTTTAAACTATAGTGAATAGTAAAAGTAAAGTACACAGTCTTAAAAAGTGAAAATAATACAGTGAAATAAGTGAAGTGTAAACAATCAGTATTAAAATAAAAGTATAGAGTAATAAAAGTGAAATTAGCTTCAAATTTGAGACTCAGCTCGTTTTTGTCTGTGTTTTGACTGATCTGCTGAGTTCTACTGTGTCCAATAGTGTTTGTTTACTTTATTTTTGATTTGTTTGTTTATTTTTTTTATTTTTTCCCAGGATGGAGGATAAAATCCACTGATATTGATTTGATGATTATGAGTTTAATGCATACATTTTCTTTGTTTTTAATAATTTTTTAAAGTTTTTTTTGGGGAATTTTTTTTTTCTTTTTCCACTTTATTGATTGATCAAATTGAATGATCACATGTGATTATGTGATCAAAGGGGAGGGTATTAGTATTAGATAGCAATATGGCCTACGTGCAGGACTGTACAAGGACTCTACAAGGACTCCATGTTATGACTATGATGTGACTGTCTCTTTGTGACACGTATGTCTTTCGATGTGTGACGTGACAATGACTATATAAACTGTGTACTGCCTTTATTCTGTCTGAGGGAAAGAAACAGAGTAAACCAGTGGAACTTGAGAGCAACTTAAATAAACTTCCAGAGTTTGGCACACCACGATCCGTCTCTGTCTGCTAAATCCTAACAGGAGCAGTATGTAAAAAATGTGGCCAGAAGTGGTACTGCAGCCTCTCCCTCTCTCAGGTTGCCAGATATGCAGACGAATCCAGCTGGGACCAAAATAACTGAATAGACAAGAGTTTTGTCAACAACAAATCTATAACCAACACCTTTTTCACAAAGATAAAAAAGCCTTGTTTAATTCCTTGTTTTTGTTGGCCGCAGACCTTTTTTAGTTCTGTGGCCACATGGTACTTTACCAGTGAGATTAGCTTGACGCAGTTAGTTCTGGCAACCCGGATCATAGAGTTTCTGATTGGTGAAACGGTGGAGGGCGTTACATCAAAATGAAAACAAAAACAAGATTTAGGGGCTGTAAAACTAATTTAGAAATCCAAATATCTCTGAACTAAAGTTATCAGTTAGAGAAGGATTGGAAAAGAGAATGTTTTATTAACGCCTTTTGACAGATTAGGGCCCTTTAATGAAAACTTGACATGAAAATCTTACATATTGCCCTTTTAAATAAGAATAAAAGGCTTTGTCCTATTGGCAAATCTTGTTTACAGTCATAATGTGCTCAGCTCAAGATAAAACCACTCTATTCAAACATTAAAAACCTCATATTCAATTTTTTTTGAAGTGTGCTTGTGCTTTCCTGACGTCTCTAATGACTTTCCCACCTTGACTTGCTCTGCTTTCTTAAGGCGTTTAAGTTGGCGTAGGCGCATGTACTCGGACTTGACCCTGCGTCTCCACTCCATCAAGCTGCGGGACAGACAGGGCGGGGCGGGGGGCTTTGGTGGTGCTGTGGGGGGGACGGGGCCTTTGCCAGTGGGTGGAGTAGCAGCTGTGGTACTTTCCTCCATGGCTCTGCAGTAAAAAAAAAAAACAAGAAGGTATACAGTTACAGTGGTGTGAGGGACAAGGATGGATTCAGGAGGAGGATCAAAGCAGAACGGGAGAGACATCTTTATCCCAACAGCATGGACCTACCCCGGCCTTAGCCATCCGTAAACTCCGATCAATTATTATTATACATGTACGTCTGGGTCTGATCCTATTGGCTGCGGATACCTCGGTTGTATTCGAGCCGACCAATCAGGAAGCAGGGAGGCGGGTGTTGTAGCTAGCTGTCTTGACAAATGTGGTTGTAGTTTGCAAATGGCGGTGAATGCGATTATAGAGAACTAATAAGAATTGGTTGCATTAGTGCATTTTGACTTTCTGATCTGTTATTGATGAATCGGCAACTTTACAAAATCCTCCGGGTCGACTACGGTTGCGATTTAGTGCAATAAAAAAATAAAAGAAATTAATTGAATATAAGTTTTTAAAGTATTGGGTTCTTCTATACCAGACAATAGTAGGTTTCGGGATGTTATGTCTTAGGGTTTACCTAAATCTAGAAGCATGGCTAACCACAACTAAACTCTCGGATCTTAATTGACGAGCACGTTTCACCAGAATGATTGACAATAGGGAGGACCAATAATCTTGACGATCCACCCGGAAGTAGAAAATCCTCCGATATACCTTTAAGAAGCATGGCTAACCGCTTCAAACCTGTATCTACATGTTGTCACCATTCGCAAACGCAATGAGTAGAAATAGATTATAATATTTGGGTTTAAAAGTAGGGAGTAAAAGTAGGCAAAAGTAATACCAGATATAATACTTGGTTACTCGTTACCCCTGTGTATTTATGTATTTATTGTCCATCCATACCACATGCATCCAGTCTGTTTAACCACTTTCCATGGCCTCTTCATGACGCGTTGACAACTCACATTGATCTGAAACCCGCTCATTCATCTTCCCCGTTGTTTAAATGCCCTCTCTCTGCGAAGCGCCCCCTTGCGTTGGCAAAACAAAACTGACAGCGATGTGTAAAAAACGCAGCTCGCACGCCTCGAAACGCACCAATGGGACAGGGTTTGTGGTCATGCGCGGCGCGGCTACAGCCAAGAACGCGTAGTAAACACACGGTTACATAATGAAACATGCATGTGCCAATACACACACACACAGACGCACACGCACACGCAAACACACAAACACGCACACTGCTTCTAGGTCTACTGATCTGGAGTGGGCGTGCCGCTTAGAAAAAACAATATGTAGCAGAGATGAAAAGTGCGTAGTAGCTTCCAGTCCTACTATTTCCAAATCAAAGCAATAGTTGAAACATGGGAGCGATTTGAGAAGAGATAATCCAGGAATAGGTTCGTACAAATCCAGAGGCAGCACGTCGTTACGCACGCGTTTTTAAGCCACAGTGAAGAAGCGCTGGAACTGCCCCTTCTCTTCTGCACAACCAGTGTCGCAGTTATTAAATACCTTCAAACGCACACACGCCGTTGCACCCCCTGTGCTCCACGATCCCGGTCCCGGTCCAGTCCAGTCCTTTCCCTCGGCCGCTGAGAAAGTGCCTCCGTTTACGGGTCTGACGCAGATCTTACGTCCGCCAGGCGAGGGGGAGATCTCTCCAAATTCCCTGCGTGATCCACGGTCATGGTGCTGTGTGTGTGTGTGTTGTGTGTTGTGTGTTGTGTGTGTGTATGTGTGTATTTAGTGGTGCACTCTCGCTTCTAGCTCCAGCTACAGCCGACACACACACCGAGAGAGAGAGAGAGATCATAGGCTTTTATTACGACGCATTTAGGGTTATCCTGCTGCGAATGGAAAGACGCAAAAGCGGCAAAACGCAGTGCACGTCTCTGGAGGCGCACACAGGAACTGATGTAATTGTGCTTGTAGTCCCAATGCAGGCGAGTGGACCAATAGACAACGCATTGAACAGTTTTGAAATGCAATGTTGAAATATTGTTCCAAAACCAACGCAGAGTGTATTCAACATTCTACTCGTACGCGTAAAGGCACGAAAACAAAAATAAAATGTATATAGCACGTTTATTACAATTCGTTTACCACAATTTTGTCCAAATGCTTACTCGTGGGTGTTGTTATGAAAAATCAAGAGGGCTTTAATAGTTAGGTATGGACTAAAAATCAATGTTACGTAACGGACAGTATCCTAAACATTCCTATAGATCATACAGTGGTCAGGTGTAGCTCTGATTCTGGCCTCTAGAGGGCGCCGCTCACTAGGTCAATGTTGTTTACTGCCCCAGGTTACAGAGTATGACGGTTTAGCTGTGCATACGGGATTTTATGTGTTAATCTTTTTTCTCAATATACTGTGATTATTAATGTATTTTATTTAATGCTGTCTTGTCTTGTTCAGCACTTTGACTTGCCCTGTGTAATGAATTGTGCTATACAAAAAAACTTGACTTGCCTTACCTTAAAGTTCGAATGAATGGAAAGCATCAAACCAGTGTTGTTTAGTGACAGGAGGCTGCATGGACGTCTTAACATTGAATATGGAAATAATGCAGATTCTTACAAAGGCCACTCTTGTAAAAACACAGTCTGTAGAAGAAGTAATGAGTGACAGGTCAACTACAGGTCTGGGATTTTTGCGGTCTATGGTTGGAATCCAAAAAAAAGACAGTCTGTAGAAGGAATAATGGTCGGAATTCAAAACTGGGTTGCAGGGAGATCATTTTTAGTTTGAGATTTTCCCGGGTAACATCTTTTATATAAGTATCTACTGTACTGCTAAAAACTGAAGTACGTTTTCTTGATTGAAATGCCCTTGATTAAATAAAAAAGTAGCCTAATAAAAGGCTAATGTATTAGGCTAATAAAAAAGTAGCCTAATACATGTTTGAAAAATCCATAATGAAAGTCTAATGAAAGTAAAATGAGGTATAAACGTAATTTACTTGAAATAAAAAAAATTATACTCGGTCCATTGGTTCAGATTTCTTGAAATTAGCTAAACTCAAAAACACGTTTACTTATTCCCCGGCTTCAATGCATTTATAGCAATTGTTTGTGAAAATATTTCACTTTTTAGATTTTTATAGACTAAATTAATTTCTGATTCATCCTAATGATTAGTGTTGATGGCAGGTCACTTTGATATTTGACTGTTGGGTCTAAAACGTCAATTTAAAGAAGAATTATTACGTTATGTTTTTGGCCCAAAATAATGACTTTGATCCTGTTAACTTCATCACTTCATGTTTCAGAATAATAAAAACTACACAGTGAATCAAGCCTCAAGGGTCGACAACACCACCCAGAGGACGGTACAGCCTTTTATTTATTTTTATTTTTTTTCAAAATTAGAAAATTACCAGCTGCAAACACAGTCATAAAGAACGTCATTTAACAATATGTCAGAATAAAAAAAAACAATGACATCATGATAGTACAGGACTTTAACGAACAGCATGAATGGATCTAAAAACAACTCCTGGTTTTTTGATGACAGAACTTCAATTTTAAGAGATCCCTTTTGAATTAAATGTCTATAGGACGATTTTCCCAAATTTCAGGAAAGAACCGCCCTCTCCACTTGACCCTCTGACCCTCTGGTCATATTGGACGAGGACATATCACCAGAATGATTGACAGTTGGGAAGACCAGTAGACCAATCTTGATGATCCACCCGGAAGTAGAAAATCCTCCTTGATACCTTTAACCCTTTAATAGTTTCCACAACCATTTGGTGGATCACTTTTTGAGTTACTAGTTCAACTTGAAGCTGGGCTGGAACTGAAATCTGGGGCGAGAGTGGCTCAGTTGGTAGAGCATTGGCCTTTGAGCCTGAAGGTTGTGGGTTCGAGCCCACCGTAAGACTTAATTCATGACTTCCACTGATGACTGCTGTCGTTGTGTACTTGGGCAAGACACTTAACCCCACTTTGTTTGAAGCCCCTGCTGAAAGATCTCAGCACCTGCAGAAGGATCAGTGAGGGGCTGGTGCTCTGTGTACTGGGTGTAGCTCTGACTCCCCCCAGACCCAGAAATGGATTAAGGGGAAGAAAATGGATGAATACCATCAAACTGCACATCACGCATTTGGTAGAGGCCTATGAATACAAAATGGTGGTATCTTAAAAAAACATAATTATTTTTTTAGTGCTCCTACATCTTAGAAAATCACAAAAAGAAACTTATGGCTTTCTCCAAGAAGTGGACATTAAAGGGTTAAGTCAAAACCTTAAAATACTTCAAAAAATGCTCTTCTGACTTTATGCTTAACAAATCTCACAGTCTCCTCCTCCGGGTGTTTGTAGGAGCTGTCAGTGGGAATCAAACACACACAGTCACAGAGAGAGACCATTTTAGGTATTACAAAACTGTTTTTCTTGGAGACTACTTCCAAGTTTGCATCGTTGCCAAATCATTTTAATCACCCAAAAAAAAAAAGTCTGTCCAAACGTTCATATTGTATTTGTTTATTTCCAGTGACTTCTGTGGAAAATAATGTTTTTATTAGTCATGTGTTTGTGACGTGGGTCCGGAGATCTCCCGCCTTCCTCTTTGGACCACAGATGCCTCGGTGACGTCGGGCGAGAGCTGGAGGTAGGTGTCCTTTTCATTGATGCTGAAACATGTTGAAGGAGCATGTGGCTTCACTCAATATAAAACAAAAAAGGCTGTGAATTATGGGAAAATATGAATGGACAGCCCGGTGGTATAGAGCAAAGGGAAATAATTGGCCAAAGAGTTCTCATAGAGCTCAGATACCAGAGAGAACATCGGCGAAGGTCAAATGGGTTTAGCTGTTCCTTAAAGCTGGGGTACTTGACTTTCAAACAAAAACAAATCCATGGAGCTAAGTCAGGCAATTGTGGCTCTCTGTGTCTTTCTATGTGGCTCTATGTCTTGTTTATCTCTAAATTATTCTGTGATCGTGGGGCGACTGTGGCTATGTTGGTATTTGAATCTAATGGATCATGGGTTCTATCCAGTGGGGGCGGGTCCCGGCTCAAAAGTGGCCAAAATGACGTGCGTTGACATGCTTGCAATACCACCCCAGGCCAATGGGGGTGGACCCGGAATAAGAATTAGCCAATGCTAACATATAGCATCTTCTTACCTCTTGAAAACGTCTTTAAAGGATGGTCCAAAAGCTGGCTCTTGGTTCAAAGCTCCGTTCCACATGTGTGTCAATGCTGAGCGGGGTGAATTTTTTTGGACCAGTCTAGTCTATGGTTCTATCCCACCACGACCCATGTCATCTGCTGCCACCGATGTCTGCTGTTGTTGTGTCCCTGGGCAAGACACTTAACCCCACTTTACCCGGAGCCCCCGCTGAATCACCAAGGCCATGTCTTCGTTGGAGGAGCAGCCATCTTCCTGTGGACTCACCATCTGCAGGAGGATCAGGGGCTGGTGCTCTGTGGATTGGGTACAGCTCTGATTGCCCCCCAACCCAACCCAACCCAAAATAAAGGGATACAAATGAAATGGAAGTCTTTGTAATCATCCAGCCAACTTAATCTCAGCCCTGTTAGACAGATTGTACCTTGTTGTAACACTTAGGACCCCTAGAATTTCAGACATTGATTTTGTTTGTATGTTCTGGCCTTTCATGTGTCACAATATTAGTCTTTGTCTCTTATGTCGCTGGTGAGATAGTAAACATTTGTCATTCAGCCAACTCCAGCTCTGTTATAGCCTGATAATCCAGGATGGTGACTCCTGGACAAGTCTGCTGAACTCAAGAGGCCCTTTTACTAAAATGTTATGAAATGTTCCTGTTTCTCAAATCAGTCACTAGATTTGTATTAAATATAAGTTCTATTACTCCTTTTCAGGCAAAGTTGTTTTTTAAGTGTGTGTTTTTATAGTAATAGTTTCATATAATGCTCCTGTGTTTGCCTGAAATAAATAATAAAATAAAATGTATGTAATTCTTGGCCTCTGTCACATTTAGATTGGTCCGATCTCCCCACGACTCACTCTCTCACTGATGTCTGCGGTCGTTGTGTCCCTGGGCAAGACACTTAACCCCACTTTGCCTGAAGCCCCAGCTGAGCAGCCATCATCCTGTGGACCCACCACCTGCAGGAGGATCAGTGAGGGGCTGGTGCTATGAGCTCTGATGCCCCCACCCCACACCCACACCCACCTCACACCCACCCCCAATGATATAAGGGAAGGGGAAATATATTGACTCTTTCTTAAAAAAGTGTTAACATGTTTTGCACAATTCCTGTTTGCACATTTCCTGTCTCTTGCACGACCTGAGTGATCCTATCTATGCCAAATGTGACATGTACATTTCTCCATTGTGAAATCAATAAAGTTCCATCTCTAAGCATACCTTGATTGGGTTGTTTTTCCCTAATAATAACAATTGTTTTATATATATTATTATTATTTTACACTCCAAGTCAAGGTGTACATGGCAATGCTCATTCACGCCGTACACAGTGGTCGCTACAGCTGCCCTGGGACAGATTGACAGAAGTGAGGCTACTACTACGTGCCATCTGCCCCACTGACCATTCATACACACACACACACACACACACCGATCGACACGACAACAGTATGGCAACTTACAGCCGCAGCCGCCCCACTGTGGCGCCTAGTTTCTTCCCAAAGGTCTCCCATCACAGCTCTACCCAAACCCTGCCCTGCTTAGCTTTCACAAATCAGACAGAACCAGGCTTTCACCAAATCCTGTTTTGGTTTGTTATCGGTGCATGTGATACCAGCCCCTGTGTGATGTGAAGCAACGCGTTTCCGAGGACTCAGCAGAAACCGGACCGATGCTCGGAGCTTGCCCCTTATCTCCTGTCTCTTTTCATTGTCGGGACCCGCCCATATAAGGAAACGCTCTGCTTCCTGTTGATTTAAAGAGCTTTCCTAAAGAGATGGGACTCCACAGCGCACACAGAAGAGCCAGCGATGACAGGCCCCAACCACAAACCAGGAGAGCTCCCTGTTTCACCCATTTTTATATTTATCATCATTTGTGGTAAGTGCAGTAATACTTATTATTATTTATAGTTTACTCAAGTATTTCACAGCCGTATATATTGTGAAGAAAGTATACGTGCATTTTGATTTCTCTAAGGTTAAACTTTTAATGTGCGTTGAACTATTTCACACATAACAAACTGACTCTTGCACATATATTTATAGTGAGTTTGTGAGATTATATTTTAGGCCCAATGCAAATATATCACAGGATTTCCTCCGGGTCCTGCGGAACAATGGGAGGATGGACCGACCTGAGGGAACAGCTTCTCATGCAATTTCCTCTCACCTACTAATTTCATATCCACCTTTTGTACAATGTTTAGGAATAACTGAAATAACACCTGAAACGACCGGTTTTCCAATGTTTGATTTTTTTGCAGTGAAATGAAATGAAAATATTAAAAGTGTATTGACTTTTTGACAGTTTCATGCTACAGTTTGTTATTTACAACACGTTTAATGACAAACTAAAGGGAGAGTATATTCTTATAATGTAGTCAAATAGTAATGTGTTTGTGTACTAGATCTTCTTTGGCCCAGTGTCTTACCTGGTTGCTATGGTAACATGAAGCCTGAGGTCAAAACTCACAAAAAACAAAAAAAAGAGTAACATTTTGGAAATAATCATATTGTTGCTAATATAGATGTATAGATAGATAAATGGTTTATTGATCCCCGTCGAAGAAATGCAGGTGACCAATAGCAGCAGAAAAACATCCAATCATATACAAGCAAAACAAAAAAATACATCATTCTAAAAAAAAAAGTTTAAATAAAGTAAAAAAACCACAGCAGCAGAAGTGGAGCAGCCGCTTGGTTCCGACAGAAAGTTAGCATTCCTCCAGTAGATCCTTGATGCACTTGGTTCGGACCATGAATCCTCTCTGCTCTGGTCTGGACCAGTGTAAAACCATGAATCCTCTCTGCTCTGGTCTGGACCAGTGTAAAACCATGAATCCTCTCTGCTCTGGTCTGGACCAGTGTAAAACCATGAATCCTCTCTGCTCTGGTCTGGACCAGTGTAAAACCATGAATCCTCTCTGCTCTGGTCTGGACCAGTGTAAAACCATGAATCCTCTCTGCTCTGGTCTGGACCAGTGTAAAACCATGAACATTGAACTGCAGCAACATCTCAGGCAGAAAAAAGTTAGACAAATTTCAATTGTAAAGTTTCCAGTGCATTCAAAAGTAGACGGCGTCACCTGCATTACAGAATGACGGTTGTTGTGTCATTTGGCAAGACACTTTACCCACAATGCCTAGAATGATGTGTGTGTGAATGGTTGGTGGGGGTCGGAGGCACATACCAGTTGCCTCGCTTCTGTCAGTGTGAAGCTGAGAGTCCCAAAAGAGCTCCATATTAAATCAAGAAAAACAACCGGGTTTCATCACTTTGTCGTAAAATCATTTATAATTAATACGTGCCTTCATGTTTCATTAAAGGAGCTGTGTGGAAAAATGTGGCCAAAAGTGGTACTGCAGCCTCTCCCACTCTCCCTGACTCAGGTTGCCAGATATGCAGACGAATCCAGCTGGGACCATAATATCTGAATACATTTTGTCAACAACAAATCAATAACCAACACCTTTTTCACAAAGATAGATTTCCTGGTTTTATTCCTTGTTTTGACATCAGAACGAGACCATTTTTAGTTCTGCGCCACATGGTACTTTACCAGTGAGATTAGCTCCACACGGTGAGTTCTGGCAACCCGGATTACAAACTTTTATTGTGATAACATTTGTCTGTCTCAAAAAAATTGCAGAACTCTTCGGCCATCAGCGACTTTAGATTTGGTGTCTTTGGTCAAACACTACTTGGTATTTTACATTAATGGTATTTTCCCTGGTTTTCAGTGACGCCGTCTCTTTGTCTCTTGAACGAGGAGTTGGCGGTCGAGCCCACAGTGTCAGGTACGTGTCTCCTATGGTTTGTTTTGAAATCAATGAACACAGTATGATTCTTTCTTTTCCCACAGAGCGTCTCTCCGCCAGCATGATGGAGAAGCCCTTGAGTAAGTTCTGGTGCTGTTCTAGTTATTTCCACAGATCGTGTTGTTCTGTATCGCACAAACTTTTGGCCAGAATTCTCATCTTAGATTGAGTTTCACTTTCGTAATCGCTGCGGGGAGCTGCGTCATGTGTGTCCACTTTCACTACTGTTACACAAGTGGACTCACTCCCTGTGGAGAGAGAAACAAAGTGTGTGTCGGATTGTTTTCAAACGTGTTATGATTGTGCGGTTGATTTAATCCAAGCCACAGTTTATATTTGCTCCACTCCCACAAACGGCCATAAGCCCTGTTTCCACCGAACAAACTTGGCCCTACTCTGCTCAATCCTGAGTGTGTTTCCATTATGCTTTAGTATCTACCACAACAGGGTCGGAACAGGGCCTTTCTGCGTGGAGTTTCCATGTTTTCCCGTGTCTGTGTAGGTTTCCTCCGGGTGCTCCGGTTTCCCCTACCACTAAAAACCACTAAAAACATGTACAATAGGTCTGAGTGTAAATGAGAGAGTGAATGGATGGTGTTGGAGCTGATGGTCCAGTGTGTTCTGGACTCGCTTCTGTCATCACCGTGTGTGGAAGGATTGGAACAATATCTGACTCTGAACATTGTAAAGCACTTTGGGTCTGTACCTTGGTCTGTAAAATGCGCTATATGAATAAACATTACTTACTTACTTACAACAAACCAGTGCAATGGAAAAAAATCCCTTGGAAAAAATAAAAAATAAATCGTCCAAGAGAACAAGAAAAGAACAAGATTTCTGACTTGATTCTTGCATAAAAACACACATTTCAAGTATGATTTACTTATTTCTTAAACATTAAAACATCCCATACTTATTTTATCTAAACAACAAGATTAGAAAATAAAAACAATCTTAAAACAAACATAAAATACTCATTGCTCAGACTTTTTTCTCTAATAAGATTATGAAGAATTATTATTATTATTATTATTATTATTAATAAATCTAGTGAAATAATCTTACTTGACAAACAAAAATCAAGCAAAAAAAATAAGCATAATTTGTGTTAATTTCTTCACCTGGTAATTCCTTGGTAACCATGGTTCCCAGCAGCACTCGCGAAAAAAAAAATGCACAGAAAAGTGAAAAAGAGAAGCCCAAGTGTGAGCTACACCCACATTGGGTCTGGTTTGTTCACAGTATTTTACTTTTACAAGACTTTTTCTTTTGGGACAAACGATATATATGTTATTTATGGGGCTGAAGTCTGATTCTGATTCTGGTTCTGGGACCTGCAGTTGCATTTCTCAGCTTTCTCCTCAGGCACTGACTCATAAAAGTGTCATTATTTTGTCTTCTATAATATTTTAGTATTTTCATAAACGGGGGCTGGGCTGAATCTCCTCCGTCGCTAACATATATACGCACGTCCTCCCTGCATGCGTTATTATTATGGTTTCGACATCAGCGCGTGGGGAGGTCTGTGCAGCAGCAGCAGCAGACTCCAGCTCCCATGATGCTTTGAGGTCAGAAGTTAACAGGAGACTCATAAGTCCCCCACCTGGACCACTTCCTGGATTAGTTCATCACTCACCCCATGCCACGTCTGAGTTCAACGCATGAACTTTTGAGTTGTTGTGAAACCGCCGCAAGAAACGTGTCTCGATCCACCCACACTGCAGAGAAACTGTACGTTCTCAACACGAGGACTCTCAGAGCAGTCGGTTTGACGGCTTTGGAAGTGTCATGACTCAGCAATATTTTTTATTGTTGTAGATCTACTTTGAACTAATTGTTTGAACTAATTGTTCTTTCTATGATGGTGCTGCTTCCGGACTGCTTCTGGTCCTGGACTGGTTATGGACTAGTTCTGGTCCTGGACTGGTAATGGACTGGTTCTGGTCCTGGACTGGCTCTGGTACTGGACTGGTTCTGGTCCTGGACTGGGTCTGGTCCTAGACTGGTAATGGACTGGTTCTGGTTCTGGTACTGGACTGGGTCTGGTCCTTGACTGGGTCTGGTCCTTGACTGGGTCTGGTCCTTGACTGGGTCTGGTCCTGGACTGGCTCTGGTACTGGACTGGTTCTGGTCCTGGACTGGGTCTGGTCCTAGACTGGTAATGGACTGGTTCTGGTTCTGGTACTGGACTGGTTCTGGTTCTGGTCCTGGACTGGGTCTGGTCCTGGACTGGGTCTGGTTCTTGACTGGTTATGGACTAGTTCTGGTCCTGGACTGTTATGGACTAGATCTGGTCCTGGGCTGGTTATAGACTAGTTCTGGTCCTGGACTGGTTATGGACTAGTTCTGGTCCTGGACTGGATATGGACTAGATCTGGTCATGGACTGGTTCTGGCCTGGACTGGTTATGGCCTAGATCTAGTCCTGGACTGGTTATGGACTGGTTCTGGTCTTGGACTGTTTTAGGTTCAGCTGTGGTGTATGCTTTGGATGGAGGGGGGGGGGGGGGGGGGGGGGGGGGGGAGACTGGAGCAACCGGAGGAAACCCATGAAACTCCACACAGGCTCAGGCCGACGTGAGACCAAACCCACGACCTTGTTTCGGTGAGGCATGAGGGCTAACCACTCAGCCAAATGCAGTCCAGTCCAAATAAGGGAACAAAAGAAAATGCATTTAATCAAAGTTGCTCGACGCAGAATGAAACACTCTCAGAAGGTTGTGGTGACTTCTGCTTACGGCTGTTTACATTTGGATTTATTCTTGTTTAAATATTCTTTTCTGCTTCTCCTTTTTCACTTTTCACTCGACTCCCCCGTGAGCCGCCGTGATGTCATTTGTCAAATATCCCATTGCAGTGCGCTACGTTTGATGTTGACAGAAACGGTTAACCCTCGAGGCGCCACGGTGGACTTAACGAAGCTATACCCGACTTGTTTTCTAATAAGTTCATAAAAATGCTTATTACTACATACAAGTTGTATTATAATCCGTAATTTAATTGAAAACTTGAGCTCATTGATTTAGCTGTGCATGAATTCAGGCGTAAAAAGTGCTGAGTAGAGACTTTAGCGAGAAGCCCGCTCTCCTCCAATCACAGAACAAGGCTGCGTCCTCTAGCCTCTACAGCGCTGCGTGAGCAAAAAGGTCCTGGGTTCGAATTCCGGTCGGACCAGGGCCTTTCTGACTGGAGTTTGCATGTGCTCCCCGTGTCTGTGTAGGTTTCCTCCGGGTACTCCGGTTTCCCCTACCACTAAAAATATGTCCAATAGTTCTGGCATATGCCTCCTGTACTGGCGACCCCGCTCCCATCTCTGTGTGGAGTGAGAGACAAATGCCCAAAATTAACAATTGTAAACCGCTTTGAGACTCAGATCTGCAGTGAAAAGGCGGTATATAAATAAAGATTACTACTTACTACTACTAAACACAGTAGCATGTTAGCATAAGTGGCTATAGCTCCTCTGGCTGTAACTGCAGACTCAGCAAAACAGCCCAAACCACACAACAGTGAGGAAGAGAAGAGGAACTAAAGCGAAAAAATGATCACAGAAGAAACCAAGCCCTGAACATAGCTAGCTTACATCGTATCCTCCGGAGAGACTTGTCTATGGGAGAGACCTGCGGGACCGCCTCGGACTATCTACGCTCGGACTATATACGCTCGGACTATCTACGCTCGGACTATCTACGCTCGGACTATCTACGCTCGGACTATCTGTGCTCGGACTATCTGTGCTCGGACTATCTACGCTCGGACTATCTACGCTCGGACTATCTGTGCTTGGACTATCTACGCTCGGACTATCTATGCTCGGACTATCTGTGCTCGGACTATCTGTGCTTGGACTATCTACGCTCGGACTATCTATGCTCGGACTATCTACGCTCGGACTATCTGTGCTCGGACTATCTACGCTCGGACGCTCGGACTATCTGTGCTCGGACTATCTGTGCTCGGACTATCTGTGCTCGGACTATCTGTGCTCGGACTATCTACGCTCGGACTATCTGTGCTCGGACTATCTACGCTCGGACTATCTACGCTCGGACTATCTACACTCGGACTACATTCGGACACTAAACTAGCGGTAATCTTTCAATTATATATTTTGTTAGCAGTGCGTTGCTTTTGTACCATTTCATCAGTGATTGTTGTACAGCTTACAAGAAGTTGCGCTCATGCTAATGTTAGCATATAGATCGCAATTAAAACTAGATGGCTCCGTGGGATCAGAGCGTAGGGGAAATGAGAAGCCTGTGAGCGAGTTGGGGGCGGGGCTAAACATTCAAACCTTGCAGAAACGGGTATAGTGTCATGGTGTGGCTTTTATTTTTGTACTTTGGTTTTATTTTGACATTGTTTCTCTATGGTTTGGTTTTGAGTTTGACTTCTGTGCTGTTTCCCCTGTCTTGATTGTCTGTGTCCCTGTCTATAATTACCCTGTGCCCCTCTCCACATGTTGCTGGTCCATTGTCATGTCAAGTTCTGTATGCTTGGATTTTGAGTTTAGTTTTCACCTGGACTTTTATTTTATTAAATCATTATTTTTTGCATTCCTGCATTTGAGTCCTCCATCATCCCACCCCGTGACATATAGCTCCTTTAAGTCGACAATATGCGGTACTGTCAAAAACAACGTCAAAATTAATTCAAACTCCTGCCACACAATGATTTACACTGTTGTACAAACCCTGACCCTTGAGTGTGGTACTGTGTGAGTTCTGTTTGTGTGTTCATGTCCTAGTGATCGGTGTCAAAAAAAGAAAAAATATCCCATGAAAATCCACCACCATATGATTTAATATTATGCAAATTAGATGATTACATTGAATTTATACATACACTTTTGGGTGTCTTTATCATTTCTCTAATTTACATAAAGCCTTCATCTCTTTTCAAGTTATTAAGAAATTAGAAAAAAACCTCTGGCGCCTGAAGGGTTACGATCGTATTTTCTCGTAATTCATTGGGAAATTATTTTACTTCAATCTACTTCTCTCTTGGGGAATGAGTTCGATTTTACCTCCAGGCCTTTCTGTGTGGAGTTTGCATGTTCTCCCTGTGTTTGGGTAGGTTTCCTCCGGGTGCTCCAGTTTCACCTAAACCACATAACACATGTACAATAGTTTGAATAATTGTAAAGCGCTTTATGAGTCTGGTCTGTAGACTGTGAAAGGCGCTATTTATTGGGTTTTTTTTAATCATAAATTGCACTTTTTGCCATAGTTTGGTCGGGGGTGGGACTTATATAATCCTAAGAACAATTTATGTGTGAAATTATTTAATTTTGAATTATATATATTTTTTACCGTAAAATGTCCCATAATAATAATAATAATAGTTCTAATAATACATTCTCAGTTTGTTGTTCTCTATTCTAGTTTTTGTGTTAAATTGCCTTCATAATCAAATGTCTATTCTTGGTCTTAGATTTTATAAATACATTTTCCCAATAAATACAATTCCAACTCTAGTGCGACTTATATATGTTTTTTTCCTTCTTTATAATACATTTTAGGCTGGTTTAATTTAACCAATCTAATCTGTATTTACCATATATATAATATGGTAAATACAGATTAGATTACTCACTTACCTCAATCCAAAATAATAAGTTTGTAGTTCACCCATTTAAACTCATCTGAACATTTCCCCGTTGAAGAAGGAATAAAGAATGTCTTAATCTCTTAAATAGTATTTTTTGCAGTGTACAGCTCATGATTTGGCCCCGCCTCCGCGACTCCTTCCTTTCCTTCCGTCATCGCTAAATCAAAACTCACACAAACAGATGTAGCGAGGGGCCCAGAGCAGTGACAGCGCACAAGTGCACAAACGGGTGAGAAAACATGCACCATTTCATTCACACCGGGCCAAATCCAAGACCGGCTCTGCGCTCAGACCAGGACCAGGACCAGGACCAGGACCAGGACCAGGACCAGGACCGGGACCACAGCAGCTGCCCCTCTGTACGCACCCCCTTTAACACCCACTTTTTCCCACACGCACATATGGTGAAAGTATCAGGTCGGTGCTTGGGCTGCACGTGTTGTGATAGCTGGCTTTAAACAGCTGCTCGCACGGCTGCAGGGTCATGTCTGGAGGAAGCGTGTCATATGTGCTACATCCAGCCAGAAACAAAAAAAAGCAAGAGAATTATTGGATCTCAGGATTTAGTATTGTGTTAAACTGACAACGATACACTCAAAAGTTAATTAAAACTTCTCTGGACGTTGTCGTTTTGTGTCTTCCATGTGTGTTTTGTCGTATCAATCATTTCAAACTATATATTTGATTGAATTCATAAACTCCAGTCGGGACGGGTCTCGGCTCCAAAAGGTCCATGAGCACGTGCGCTGACAAGCTGCAATCTCACTCCAGTCCTGTGGGGGTGTACCCGGAAAGAGAATTACCCAATGCTTTCGTATGGCGTCTTCTCTCCTCTCGAAAACGTCTTTACAGGATGGTCCTAATGTGGCTCTTGGCCCAAAGCTCCGTTCCACATGTGTGTCAATGCTGAGGGGAGTGAATCTTTTTGGACCAGTCTAGTTTCGCCGCTGTGGACTTCAGAATGCACCCGTTAAATGAATGAGTAGTGAAATGAAGCATAGATATGGACACACTTGAAGCTGTGTTGTAAATTCCTGTCCTGCTCTAAGCAGGACAGGGTCTGGTTTGTACTGTGATGGGAGACTTCTGGGAACAGAGAGTGACACATCAGAAGAGCTGTTGTGTCCTTAAGCAAGACACATTGCTTCAGCCTGGTATGCCCAGTGTCTGGTCGTGAATGATTAGTGGTGGTCGGAGGGAGCGGGTGACTTTGGTTTTTTGTCGTTGTGCCTCAGGGCAGCTGTGGCTTCAGTTTACCACCGCTGTGTAATGAGTAATGACTGAGTGAAGTTTTCAAATGTGTGCACTTTAAATATTTGATGTCTTTCAAACCAAGTGTACAGTCAAACAAGATTTCTTTGACCTTATTTTGTTCAAACCTGCACAAAAAACCTGTATTAGTGAAGATTTTTCACACATCGTCACAGATACAGGTTTGTATTCACATGGTTTGAAAATCAGAATATCAACCACCGTTGGTATTAAAATGAAGAGATACTTTATTCGTCCCACAGTGGGGAAATGTCAGTGTTGCATCACAAGTTACAGAACAGCAGGGATGGGGAGCACACAACACATGAACAATAACTCTATACTGAATCAAATAAGAGAGAATACTGACACTGGCACAGTTCAAACACTCTCTGACCCTACACCCCTCTCCCATTACTCTCCCTGTGCCGAGTGCATCCGTCTCTTTCCTCCTCGTTCTTCAGAGATTCCTGTTTTACTGCCTCAACTTTAACCTGACAATAATAAATGATATGTGCGAGGAGTTGCATCACGACAGACACACACACACACACACACATACTTGTCTTTATCATCTCGTGGGACCACCAGACCAGGACATGCATTGTGGGACCCAGCCTTTCTGTAGGGTTTACAGCAGCAAAAAAAATCAGGCATGGCCCCCTGGAGGGCCTGAACAGTAATATCACGTCAAAATCCAAGATTTCACACCACCAGACCAGGACATGCATTGTGGGACCCAGCCTTTCTGTAGGGTTTACAGCAGCAAAAAAAATCAGGCCACACCAGATTGTTACTATACTTCTGGGAACTTAACAGGTATTGCTATACTTGTGATGCCGAAACTTACACACTATCAGGTTTTTAGCTACTTTTAGTCCCACGCATACACACTGTCAGGTTTTTAGCTACTTTTAGTCCCACACATACACACTGTCAGGTTTTAAGCTACTTTTAGTCCCACGCATACACACTGTCAGGTTTTAAGCTACTTTTAGTCCCACGCATACACACTGTCAGGTTTTTAGCTACTTTTAGTCCCACACTTACACACTATCAGGTTTTTAGCTACTTTCAGTCCCACACATACACACTGTCAGGTTTTTAGCTACTTTTAGTCCCACACTTACACACTATCAGGTTTTTAGCTACTTTCAGTCCCACACATACACACTGTCAGGTTTTTAGCTACTTTTAGTCCCACACATACACACTGTCAGGTTTTTAGCTACTTTTAGTCCCACACATACACACTGTCAGGTTTTTAGCTACTTTCAGTCCCACACATACACACTGTCAGGTTTTTAGCTACTTTTAGTCCCACACATACACACTGTCAGGTTTTTAGCTACTTTCAGTCCCACACATACACACTGTCAGGTTTTTAGCTACTTTTAGACACACACACACACACACACACACACACACACACACACACACACACACACACACACACACACACACACACACACACACACACACACACACACACACACACACAGATAAGAAAATCCTCCTCCTTTCTGTTCAACTTGGCAATCCTAAATGTTTACTTATGTTTCCTATTTGGCAGAGCGGCCCGAAAGGCAAATAAATCACGCTGTGAGCTGGCCAGGCCCAGGACTGTGAGAAAAACCCAGAGTGAGACGCTGTGGAAGAAGAGTTAAAAGTCTAAAGGGTTTTCAGATGTGCGTCCTGCCCATGCGTTCGCTCTTTGGGTGTGCTCTCTTTTATTTGGGAGGATGGAGAGGACAATCTTTTGTAGCCTCCACCCCTTTGAAAAAGAAGACTCCAAAAAGAAAAAGGCGCGTCTGGGGATAGCGTGAGCAGCTTGCCAAGGCGAAAGGGCCATGCACATCTGCTGGTAGCACCGGGTTTTTTTGGAGGGGGACATAGCCTTTCATATTTACATCCACGCGGGCCGGCTTCCTGTGTTATGTTTCGTCGGACAGCGGGTGGGCAGCGGGCGATACATGCTGATAATCTGGAGACAAGACACCTCTTCTCTCTTTCTCTGACATGAAGCTAGCCCTGGCGTTCATTTGGATAGCTCTGTCTGCAGCGTACGGTGAGTGAGAGAGCTCTGTCTACAGCGTACGGTGAGTGAGAGAGCTCTGTCTGCAGCGTACGGTGAGTGAGAGAGCTCTGTCTGCAGCGTACGGTGAGTGAGAGAGCTCTGTCTGCAGCGTACGGTGAGTGAGAGAGCTCTGTCTGCAGCGTACGGTGAGTGAGAGAGCTCTGTCTGCAGCGTACGGTGAGTGAGAGAGCTCTGTCTGCAGCGTACGGTGAGTGAGAGAGCTCTGTCTGCAGCGTACGGTGAGTGAGTGTGTGGTCCGGCTCTACCTTCAAGGCATCTAATGAGGAGCAACAGTTTCTGATTTAGAAGTGACACATTGCACGCATTTCCCAGCCCCATGTGTTACATCAAAGAGGCCGTATGTTTTTTGGGATTTAACGTGTTTTTGTATGTGTGTGTGTCTGTGTGTGTGTGTGTGTGTGTGTGTGTGTCTGTGTCTGTGTGTGTGTGTGTGTGCTTTCTTTCAGATGCCAGTGTTTCCAACTTCACCTTGCCATTGAGTAAGTCCCAGCACTCACTTTTGAACACACTTTGAATGAAATTAAAGCTGGGATACATAGATTTTAAAGCCTTCCTTGTTCCGTTTCAAAACATGCATGCATTTTATTTTAGTCTTTGAAATCAGTTTTTTCACAAGTTAAAGCTGGGGTAGGACGGCTAACTTTGAAACCACTACAACAAATGATACATAATAAAATACAGCCTAACTAAGTTCAAAGCTATCAAAACAGTTTGGTTCTATCACATGAATTTTGGCATCAGCTTTTTCAATAAAAAAAGCATCAATCCTCACTCAGTCAGTCAGCTCTCAATATGTGAAAGATAAAATATGTTTTAATACGACAAAGACAGCTTGTTTTGGTCTGCTTTGTTCTTATAATGTAACTTTAATGAGACTCTTTCTGTTGGGACAAAAACCATGTTCTTATGAAACAAAACAAAAGTGAATTAAAAGGTAATTACTGTCTGTAGATCCTCTTTCAGCCCAAAGAGTCATTTATGGCCTCACAAGGTTCTCCTTCCCTCGACAGATAACATGTGTTCTACTGAGATGAAGACAACAAATTGTGGTCTCATTTGTAATGCATTTTTCATGATGCAAAAAAAATAAGTGAGTTACTCCACCTTTAAGGCTGTGGGAGATTAACTTTGTCCATTCTTTCGTCTGCAGCGTGCGGGAACAACACCCACTACTGCATGGACCTGTGCAGCTTCTGTCACGACATCTTTCATGAACACAGTATGCAGTGTCTCTCTGTGCTTCTTGACTCTTTGTGCCTGACTACATTCCACATCGAGATGACGCAGAGTAACGCAGACTCCTGCGTTTGGGGCAACGTCAGCGGGTGAGTCGGCTGTAAAAGTCAGACGGGTTTTGAGTTTTGAGGATGTGAAATGTCATCATAATCAATGTTGTGAAGATGTGTTGACCAATTATCGTGGTCAGGAGTGTCCAAACCTTTTGGGAAGAGGGCCACTTTAGTTCACCAGTACTTTCCCAGGGGCCGACAATGCGGGTTGCAATACTAATTTTGACTGGAATTGGTCTAATTTTGAGCTGTAAAACGAGGTATGACATGACTATGACTACCGTGTTTGGAGTGAAAGAATAATGACACGTGAAGCGTTTTTGAGTGTCCAAAAAGCGCTAAATAAAACCAGTGCCTTATTATATTATTATTTGTAATCAAAATGGAACTTTGGGTTAGCAATGGGGGGGGGGGGGGGGGGGGGGGGGGGGCATAGAACAGGACACAACGGGCCACAATTGGCTCTCGGACCTGAGTTTGGACGTGCCTGTTATAAGTTCTTTGAAAACAAAAAGCTAAGAAAAACTTGCCTAGCTAGCTCCCAGCCTACAGACTGGGAGCCCCCGTTCATGAAGAGATTGTCTGTAGTTGTTCATTGGGGGCAACAAATGTCTACATGTCTAATCGTATCAATTTCACCTGATATAAATTTGATGACAATGGAAGAAGAAAAAAAGATGAACGATAACTACAGTTTGTGGAAGTTAAAGTTTGGGACTTACATTCAAAGCCCCCAAGTAACTACTATGATTCAAGATTCAACAATGTTTTTGCCATTTGCAGTAAAACCACATTGGAATAACAGTGCAAGACAACCCCAATGTGCTCCAACGGCACACGCCAGAGCTCTAGCCACGACAAAATGGACAATCACTGCATATACAGCGGTTCCCAGTCACTAACCTGTGATGCTGGTTAGAATTATTGAGACTTGATATTTTTCTAGTCCCACTTTGCTGATATTGGATCATGGACTACAGTGTTTAATGCACATTCGTGTCCGTCCACAGCTTTTACAGTAACCTCAGCATCTGCACCGAGGAGATCTCCGACTGCCTGATCATCCCGTGGCCCAATCCTCTGGTGGAGCAAACATTTCTGGACATTCACTCGCGGTATTTCCAGGACTGTCCATCGGAGGAGCTGAGCGACCCTCCGCCGGCGATCGTCTTTGCTCTGGTCATCACGCCCATCTGCCTGATCCCCGTCATGGTCAGTTTGGTGGTGCTCAAAACTAAGAACGGAGACGGGAGTCAATAGACGCACTCTTTCTGAGCCTCCTTTTTCCTGCTGAAATGCAGTCATTCACATTGTTTAGCTCTGGGTGGCATTTAAAGCTGGGGTACCTATTATTGTTTATGGATAATGCATATGGTTTGGTCCAACAGAGTCTAGATCTAGGAAAAGTTACATATGTGAGCAAATCGGACTGGCAAAAATGATGAGGTAATAAATGCTTGAATTACGTTTTTTTTAATTGCAATTTGAGTTCATTCTGACCGTGTTAAAACCAGATTTGCCAACGGGACAACGCCATTTTAGACATTTCTTGGATCACTTTGTCGCATTAGCAAATCCTGTTCTAAGTCAGTCAGAATGGGCTCAAGTTAAGATACATTTTGCCAATTTTGTACTTATTTTTCATATATTTTTTAGATAATGTAAAATGGTATATGCTGGTAACAAAGATCCCCATGAGTCACTATTGAAATGTTTCTGTCCAGACTAATCCATAACATGTGACAGAAGCCATAAAGTCCATGCATGTAAAAAAAAAAAACAGCTACAGAACCAAATGTTGAACTAGCTAAATGGATTGTTTTGGCTAAGTTTTGTGGTGTTAAAGTTAGGTACCCCAGCTTTAAATTGCCACCTAAATGATCTAATTTTCTCAAACTGTGACTTGGTAAATACACTATTGACGAATGCAAATCTCTAATCAAACAAGGATAATAATCTATGTATAAATGTGACTCCCGGGTGTTCAGGAACCATCTGGGGAAAAAGAATTGTATTATCCTATTTGCACATTATAAAATAGAAATCTCAGTTTATTCTGATTGATGCTATGATGATGACGAAGGACAAGTGCGGCTGAACAACACCAATAGTACAGCGATACTGAATATTTTAAATCAGGGTAAAAAGGACAACGGCCTCGAGGGCTCGATTTATGTTATACTGTTTTACTGTAACTCTGATAGGTTGCGTTCATTTGACATCACAACATTCCAAAGAGCCTATAGTTTTAAATCTAGTCTTAGTTTGAACTCCACTTCCTCTTTGTCAGTATAAACTACGGTCAAAATTCTTTCTCATAAAGATGTCTAAAAGTTGCGACAAAATTTGATTGGTTAGCAGCATTCTCAGCAAGAAGGCCCTGGGTTCAAATCTTGGTCTGAACACGGCCTTGCTGAATCCCTGTTTAGACGGAGCCGCTGCAGAGTTTAGACAAGGACGAGAAACAATGTAGTTCTAACGCCCGACCAGTAGGGGGCGATGGAACTTTACAGAACGACTCACGCGACCCCCAGAAACACTTCCTCAACAAAATCCTCCTCTGGTCACAGCAATGACTGAAAGAATGCACCAACATCATTCTGCATTTAAAGATGCATTTTTTTAAATATTGTGGGAAAATGTCCCTAAACCCTAAAAGTAGTCAAGTTATCATGTGTTTTCAAATAGTAATGGAATTCACCAGATGCCTTAAGTCTACAAAGATTAATAAAAAAATATTTTGGAGTGGAACCATAAAAATTCACCAATGGGATTCGTTCATCCCCAACGAACCAATGGGATGAGTTCTCCCTCTTCCTGTTTCTCGCCAGTGCACCAGAGTTATCGTATTTTCTAAAACCTAAAATGGCTGAACAGAACGTTTGCCACCCACTCTCCCTGTTGTGATGAAGAAAAGAAAACGCTGGGTGTTTGGTTTGGTGGAGAGGGAGGGGGGTGGTTTCCAGTTGGTGCTACGGCTAAGCTAACAACATTTCTAACTGCATCTTTAAGAGCAGCAGGAAAAATGGAAACTGAAACTACAGCTTTGGTTGTACCGCTCGCAGCACATGTTAGCATTAGTCGACCTGCCGCTCACTTAGTTCTCGGCCACTGTGCATGTCCAAATGTACGTGCGGGAAAGTGGTGAGGTCATCGCAGCAGAGAATTCACGCCTTTTTTTTTCATCTGTTCTGTTCCACTCTGGAGGCTGTTTCTCAAAGCTTGTGTTTTCACCTGAAACACCATCTTCATGTAAACAAAAGGACAAACCGACATAAACTCTAACATTATACTGTCGCAGCGTCTCCTTTTTAAACACCACCTGAGTGGAGTTTGCATTTTCTCCCTGTTTCAACTCCCATCCCATAGAGTTGCATTCACACCTGCTCTCCAACTAAAATATATTTTAGAATAGACTTGGGCAAAGCGCGGCCCGGGAGCCACATTCGGCCCGATTTGCATTTCTATGCGGTCCTCTCAGCCATAGCCTGGCCTTATCCATCCGTACACTCTGCTCAATTATCATTTCCTGCATGTAACGTCTGGGTCTGGTCCCTGTGTTTGCGATTACAATCGGTTGAATTCCATCTGACCAATAAGCGCGGCGGGTGTTGTAGTTAGTTTTGGGTGACGTCAAGAGTTTGTGCAGAACGGGCAGATTGTAGTTTGGCAATGGCGAAAAATGAAATTGAAGCCGGAGCAAGAGGAATGTTTAACAAATGTAATCGCTGGTAAAGATTGTGGCGCTACTCCCCGCGGGCTCCGTTAGCGGCAAAGGAGATGGCTAAAGCTAGGCTAAATGCTAAATGCTAACTACTCACTCGGGCGCATTACATACGTCACAGTTAACTCAGATCCAATCGTTTCAATCTGCAAAAGGAGTTAACCCCTCCCACCTGTGAACGGAGCCCAATGGAGCACATCAAGACCTTTTATTTGTACTATGGTGTGGTGCGACCAGGCTATCTCAGCCATCAACCTCAAACCAGTCTGAATCTGGAGGCGACTTGTAAAGGCTTCTAACATGTGCTACCATGGCCTGTTAAATAAATGAATAATATACAGATACAAAAATAGATTAAAAAAAACTAATATAGCCCTCAACAATTATATTTCCAAATGAGGCCCCCTGAAGAAAATAATTGCCCAACCCTGTTCTAGAACACGAACGCAACCTACTGAGCCGAACGTGCCACACACACACACACACACACACGCACACACACACACACACACACACACATAGGACACACACAGAGACACACACACACATAGGGACACACACGCACGCACACACAGAGACACACACACATAGGGACACACACAGAGACACACACACACATAGGGACACACATGCACGCACACACAGAGACACACACACATAGGGACACACACGCACGCACACACACAGAGACACACACACATAGGGACACACACGCACGCACACACAGAGACACACACACATAGGGACACGCACACACAGAGACACACACACATAGGGACACACACGCACGCACACACACAGAGACACACACACATAGGGACACACACGCACGCACACACAGAGACACACACACATAGGGACACACACAGAGACACACACACACATAGGGACACACACGCACGCACACACAGAGACACACACACATAGGGACACACACGCACGCACACACACAGAGACACACACACATAGGGACACACACACATAGGGACACACACGCACGCACACACACAGAGACACACACACATAGGGACACACACGCACGCACACACACAGAGACACACACGCACGCACACACACAGAGACACACACACATAGGGACACACACGCACGCACACACAGAGACACACACACATAGGGACACACACGCACGCACACACACAGAGACACACACACATGGGGACACACAGAGACACACACACACATAGGGACACACACGCACACACACACAGAGACACACACACATAGGGACACACACGCACGCACACACACAGAGACACACACACATAGGGACACACACGCACGCACACACACAGAGACACACACACATAGGGACACGCACGCACACACACAGAGACACACACGCACGCACACACACAGAGACACACACACATAGGGACACACACGCACGCACACACAGAGACACACACACAGGGACACACACGCACGCACACACAGAGAGACACACACACATAGGGACACACACGCACGCACACACAGAGAGACACACACACATAGGGACACACACGCACGCACACACACAGAGACACACACACATAGGGACACACACAGAGACACACACACACATAGGGACACACACGCACGCACACACAGAGACACACACACATAGGGACACACACGCACGCACACACACAGAGACACACACACATAGGGACACACACGCACGCACACACAGAGACACACACACATAGGGACACACACAGAGACACACACACACATAGGGACACACACGCACGCACACACACAGAGACACACACACATAGGGACACACACGCACGCACACACAGAGACACACACACATAGGGACACACACGCACGCACACACACAGAGACACACACACACATAGGGACACACACGCACGCACACACAGAGACACACACACATAGGGACACACACGCACGCACACACACAGAGACACACACACATAGGGACACACACGCACGCACACACAGAGACACACACACATAGGGACACACACAGAGACACACACACACATAGGGACACACACGCACGCACACACAGAGACACACACACATAGGGACACACACACACGCACACACAGAGACACACACACATAGGGACACACACAGAGACACACACACACATAGGGACACACACGCACACACACACAGAGACACACACACATAGGGACACACACACGCACGCACACACACAGAGACACACACACACATAGGGACACACACGCACGCACAAACAGAGACACACACACATAGGGACACACACAGAGACACACACACACATAGGGACACACACGCACGCACACACAGAGAGACACACACACATAGGGACACACACGCACGCACACACAGAGAGACACACACACATAGGGACACACACGCACGCACACACACAGAGACACACACACATAGGGACACACACAGAGACACACACACACATAGGGACACACACGCACGCACACACAGAGACACACACACATTAGGGACACACACAGAGACACACACACACATAGGGACACACACGCACGCACACACAGAGACACACACACATAGGGACACACACGCACGCACACACAGAGACACACACACATAGGGACACACACGCACGCACACACACAGAGACACACACACATAGGGACACACGCACGCACACACAGAGACACACACACATAGGGACACACACGCACGCACACACACAGAGACACACACACATAGGGACACACACGCACGCACACACAGAGACACACACACATAGGGACACACACAGAGACACACACACACACATAGGGACACACACGCACGCACACACAGAGACACACACACATAGGGACACACACGCACGCACACACAGAGACACACACACATAGGGACACACACAGAGACACACACACACATAGGGACACACACGCACACACACACAGAGACACACACACATAGGGACACGCACGCACACACACAGAGACACACACACATAGGGACACACACGCACGCACACACAGAGACACACACACATAGGGACACACACGCACACACACAGAGACACACACACACATAGGGACACACACGCACGCACACACACAGAGACACACACACATAGGGACACACACGCACGCACACACACAGAGACACACACACACATAGGGACACACACGCACGCACACACAGAGACACACACACATAGGGACACACACGCACGCACACACACAGAGACACACACACATAGGGACACACGCACGCACACACAGAGACACACACACATAGGGACACACACGCACGCACACACACAGAGACACACACACATAGGGACACACACGCACGCACACACAGAGACACACACACATAGGGACACACACAGAGACACACACATAGGGACACACACGCACGCACACACAGAGACACACACACATAGGGACACACACGCACGCACACACAGAGACACACACACATAGGGACACACACAGAGACACACACACACATAGGGACACACACGCACACACACACAGAGACACACACACATAGGGACACACACACACGCACACACAGAGACACACACACATAGGGACACACACGCACACACACAGAGACACACACACACATAGGGACACACACGCACGCACACACACAGAGACACACACACATAGGGACACACACGCACGCACACACACAGAGACACACACACACATAGGGACACACACGCACGCACACACAGAGACACACACACATAGGGACACACACGCACGCACACACAGAGACACACACACATAGGGACACACACAGAGACACACACACACACATAGGGACACACACGCACGCACACACAGAGACACACACACATAGGGACACACACGCACGCACACACAGAGACACACACACATAGGGACACACACAGAGACACACACACACATAGGGACACACACGCACACACACACAGAGACACACACACATAGGGACACGCACGCACACACACAGAGACACACACACATAGGGACACACACGCACGCACACACAGAGACACACACACATAGGGACACACACAGAGACACACACACACATAGGGACACACACGCACACACACACAGAGACACACACACATAGGGACACGCACGCACACACACAGAGACACACACACATAGGGACACACACGCACGCACACACAGAGACACACACACATAGGGACACACACAGAGACACACACACATAGGGACACACACGCACGCACACACAGAGACACACACACATAGGGACACACACAGAGACACACACACACACATAGGGACACACACGCACGCACACACAGAGACACACACACATAGGGACACACACGCACGCACACACAGAGACACACACACATAGGGACACACACAGAGACACACACACACATAGGGACACACACGCACACACACACAGAGACACACACACATAGGGACACACACACACGCACACACACAGAGACACACACACATAGGGACACACACAGAGACACACACACATAGGGACACACACGCACACACACAGAGACACACACACACATAGGGACACACACGCACGCACACACACAGAGACACACACACATAGGGACACACACGCACGCACACACACAGAGACACACACACACATAGGGACACACACGCACGCACACACAGAGACACACACACATAGGGACACACACGCACGCACACACAGAGACACACACACATAGGGACACACACGCACGCACACATAGAGACACAAACACATAGGGACACACACGCACGCACACACACAGAGACACACACACATAGGGACACACACACACGCACACACAGAGACACACACACATAGGGACACACACGCACGCACACACAGAGACACACACACATAGGGACACACACAGAGACACACACACACATAGGGACACACACGCACACACACACAGAGACACACACACATAGGGACACGCACGCACACACACAGAGACACACACACATAGGGACACACACAGAGACACACACACATAGGGACACACACGCACACACACAGAGACACACACACACATAGGGACACACACGCACGCACACACACAGAGACACACACACACATAGGGACACACACGCACGCACACACAGAGACACACACACATAGGGACACACACGCACGCACACATAGAGACACAAACACATAGGGACACACACGCACGCACACACACAGAGACACACACACATAGGGACACACACGCACGCACACACAGAGACACAAACACATAGGGACACACACGCACGCACACACACAGAGACACACACACATAGGGACACACATGCACGGACACACACAGAGACACACACACATAGGGACACACACGCACGCACACACAGAGACACACACACATAGGGACACACACAGAGACACCCACACACATAGGGACACACACGCACGCACACACAGAGACACACACACACATAGGGACACACACGCACGCACACACAGAGACACACACACACATAGGGACACACACGCACGCACACACACAGAGACACACACACATAGGGACACACACACACGCACACACAGAGACACACACACATAGGGACACACACACACTGAACAAGGTGACCACTTTTCACTCAGTTTCTTTTCCTGTCAGGGAATACGTGGAGTTTTGTTCTATTTTAATATTTAGTCATATTTACCAACACAGAAGTGTCGCCTTTGTAGGTCCTCTCTCCCCCCGACACCCCCCTCCCCTCTACCCCCTCTACCCCCCTCCTCTCTCCCCCCGACACCCCCCTCCCCTCTACCCCCCACAATCTGAGTATAGCTGCCATGGTTGTTAGCTGTAAATGCATCATAATAAGCAAGTAAATAGCATTATCTATATGGATCATAAGTCAATCTCTCTCTCTTTCTGTCTCAATCTTTCCCTCTGTCTCTCTTTCTGTGTCTGTCTCTCTCTCGCACTAATAGTAGATGTTACATATGTAACGCACATCTCAAGGTGCTACAGCAAAAACACAACAAAACATCAGAATAAAAAGGCGTACAGACAAATATAAAAAATGCATAAAGAGACCTGGGCTGCAGATCAGAAGAAGGCCTTCCTGAACAGCTCTGTTTGTTAGCAGGACGATAACAGGATAATACCCAGATACAGTGACATACATTGGACATTCTGAATCAATATCGGGGCATCCACAATTTTGGGTCAAATGTAATTAGTGAGAAATACAGGTTTCATTCATTCCACTATAGTAAGCTTTATTTAGCAAGTAAGCAAGTAATCTTTATTTATATACCGCCTTTTCACTGCACATCGGAGTCTCAAAGCGGTTTACAATTGTTTTATTTTTTTTATTATTTTTTTGGGATTGGGGGCGCCAGTACAGGAGGCACATGCCAGACCTATAGTACATATTTTTAGTGGTAGGGGAAACCGGAGCACCCGGAGGAAACCTACGCAGACACGGGGAGAACATACAAACTCCACTCAGAAAGGCCCTGGTCCAACCGGGATTCGAACCCAGGACCTTCTTGCTGAGAGGCGAGAGTGCTATCCACTCAGCCACCGTGCCGCCCATAGGCAAAGGTTCAGTCCAGAACACCTCTTTACCAATCAAGAAACCTCCACAAAAGTAGCGCCTAAGAAACCGAGAATTATAATAATTACAAAGTAGCAGCAATACAGAAATCTGAAACTGAAGAAACTGTTAAGAGACAGAAACAACTGGTGCAGTGGGATAAAGCAACCTATGTTTCTACAGAGACATTATCAATAAATATCGGGACATCCACAAGTATGATTTTAACCATTTTCAAATTGCGTCATCCCTGAGTGGAGCAGAAATCACAGTTATTATGTGAAAAACATGTCAAAATGATTATCCATTGAACCAGTCGCGTAATCATGGCTCTTTCACAGTCTGTTTTGGTCATTTTCAATCATAACCTTCACTGTTTTGGGGAAAAAAAATGAAAATATATGATCTCAGGGAGGTCACTGTAGAATAGTAGTATAGACATGTTTACAAAAGCCTTAAAGGTCCCATACTTCACTCTTCAAATTTGGCAAAATGTGTCTTAAATTGACCGCATTCTGACTGAGCTTTAAAACAAGAACCAAGCAAAATTGTCCTGTTTTAAAAAAAGATAGTTTTAACACAGTTGGAATGTGTCAGATTTAAATAAAAAACACTTGATTCAAGAAAGTATCAGCTCATATTTGATATTGTTTTGCAGTGTAAGCACATAATCTGGGTGATACACCATACGACAGTTAAAGCTATAGTCATTTCTTGCATAGCGATAATGTCAGCTCAATTGAAACGGCTGGTTCTCTGGCTCTCTGCCTCTGAGCCCTTTCCCGTACCCGCACGCCGAGGTAAACACACAGCCTGAAAGCTATCTTTTCAGCTTTCGACGGTACGTAGTTGTTTCAGACCTGAGAATAAACTTCTTCCAACAATGGCGACACGTCACACAACAATTGTAAAGTGCTTTGTGAGTCTGGTGTGTGAAATGTGCCATATACATAAAGATGACCTACTTCCTTGTGTCTCCGCAGGTCCAGCTCCCACAGCCTCAGCCGGAGGGGCTACGGTCTGGTGGGCGGCAGTCTGCGCGTGCACAGCAGTTGCTCGCCTCACCCTTTCCCCCTCGCCCCGGAGCAAGAGTCCCTGCTGTCTCACCCTCATCTCCCCCACCACAGCCGCCACCGCAACCACCACCCCCCCCCCCCTGCCCCGCCCCCACCACCGCTACTGTCCCGCCAGTACGGCACCAGGCGCGACCGTCGGGCCCTGTCTCTGGAGCTGCCCGAACTGCTGAGAACCGCAAATGGAGCTAACACGGCTAACGTTGCTAACTTAACTAATGCCACTAATGTGGCGAACCTGGCTAATGCTGCTAACTTGGCTAATGTGGCTAATGTGGCTAACTTGGCTAATGTTGCTAACTTGGCTAATGCTGCTAACTTGGCTAATGTTACAAACTTGGCTAATGCCGCTAACTTGGCTAATGTTGCTAACTTGGCTAACTTGGCTAATGCTGCTAACTTAGCTAATGTTGCAAACTTGGCTAATGTGTCTAACTTGGCCCATGTGGCTAACTTTGCTAATGCTGCTAACTTGGCAAACTTGGCTAATGCAGCTAACTTTGCTAATGTGGCTAACTTGGCTAACTCGTCGAGCTCTCCCACAGCTAACCTGGCTCACGGCTTCCAGGACTCAGGGCGGAGGAGCGGTGGTGGGGGTGGGGGCTCTGTGGTGGGCAGTGGGGGGTTTGGGACGGACCACAGAGACTGTAACGGGAAAACGGCGCACACGACTCTCATCACAGAAGTTTACCCTCAAGTCAACGCCAGGAAAGACCGCGCCGACCTGGACGAGGAGACGGACTATGTGAGTATAAACCATAGGCCGTGTGTCAGTGTTAGCCGTGTACCGTATACTATCAGTACTACTACCACCTTATGGTGCTTTCAGACCGGATCATGCTGCGTCGGCTTTCAATGCAAAGTCTATGGTGACGAGCGTCAAAACGCACAGACCTCTCGGCACGCACAGACTGTTCAGTAGAGACGCACAGACTGTTCAGTAGAGACGCACAGACTGTTCAGTAGAGACGCACGGACTGTTCAGTAGAGACGCACAGACTGTTCAGTAGAGACGCACAGAGGACTGTTCAGTAGAGACGCACGGACTGTTCAGTAGAGACGCACAGACTGTTCAGTCGAGACGCACGGACTGTTCAGTAGAGACGCACAGACTGTTCAGTAGAGACGCACAGACTGTTCAGTAGAGACGCACAGACTGTTCAGTAGAGACGCACAGACTGTTCAGTAGAGACGCACAGACTGTTCAGTAGAGACGCACAGAGGACTGTTCAGTAGAGACGCACAGACTGTTCAGTAGAGACGCACGGACTGTTCAGTAGAGACGCACGGACTGTTCAGTAGAGACGCACGGACTGTTCAGTAGAGACGCACAGACTGTTCAGTAGAGACGCACAGACTGCTCAGTAGAGACGCACAGACTGTTCAGTAGAGACGCACGGACTGTTCAGTAGAGACGCACAGACTGTTCAGTAGAGACGCACAGACTGTTCAGTAGAGACGCACAGACTGTTCAGTAGAGACGCACAGACTGTTCAGTAGAGACGCACGGACTGTTCAGTAGAGACGCACGGACTGTTCAGTAGAGACGCACGGACTGTTCAGTAGAGACGCACGGACTGTTCAGTAGAGACGCACGGACTGTTCAGTAGAGACGCACAGACTGTTCAGTAGAGACGCACGGACTGTTCAGTAGAGACGCACAGACTGTTCAGTAGAGACGCACGGACTGTTCAGTAGAGACGCACGGACTGTTCAGTAGAGACGCACGGACTGTTCAGTAGAGACGCACGGACTGTTCAGTAGAGACGCACAGACTGTTCAGTAGAGACGCACAGACTGTTCAGTAGAGACGCACGGACTGTTCAGTAGAGACGCACGGACTGTTCAGTAGAGACGCACAGACTGTTCTGTAGAGACGCACGGACTGTTCAGTAGAGACGCACGGACTGTTCAGTAGAGACGCACGGACTGTTCAGTAGAGACGCACGGACTGTTCAGTAGAGACGCACGGACTGTTCAGTAGAGACGCACAGACTGTTCAGTAGAGACGCACGGACTGTTCAGTAGAGACGCACAGACTGTTCAGTAGAGACGCACGGACTGTTCAGTAGAGACGCACAGACTGTTCAGTAGAGACGCACAGACTGTTCAGTAGAGACGCACAGACTGTTCAGTAGAGACGCACAGACTGTTCAGTAGAGACGCACAGACTGTTCAGTAGAGACGCACGGACTGTTCAGTAGAGACGCACGGACTGTTCAGTAGAGACGCACGGACTGTTCAGTAGAGACGCACAGACTGTTCAGTAGAGACGCACAGACTGTTCAGTAGAGACGCACAGACTGTTCAGTAGAGACGCACGGACTGTTCAGTAGAGACGCACAGACTGTTCAGTAGAGACGCACGGACTGTTCAGTAGAGACGCACAGACTGTTCAGTAGAGACGCACAGACTGTTCAGTAGAGACGCACAGACTGTTCAGTAGAGACGCACAGACTGTTCAGTAGAGACGCACGGACCTGGCGGGAAAGTCAAAGGGGAGGAGCAGGAGCAAAAAATCGACGCCCACAGGAGATGGATTCTGCTCATCCTTTCCTTGGGACGTTCGTGCAGCGACCAATCAGAGAGCAGCAAAGTGGTCACAGGGACATTAGCGGACTGAGCGAGCAGACTGAAAACTTCACCAGAACTCAAACCAGGGTTGACAATGGGTGACTCTGTGCTTGTGAAAATATGCTCCCGTGACTTTATGCAACTGCTTTGAGTGTGTTCACCAATGCGGAAATACCGTTTAATAATATGAAAAAGCGTATGGCGCACCTCCGTGAACACATACTACTGTTATATAAAGTCACCTCCGTGAACACATACTACTGTTATATAAAGTCACCTCCGTGAACACATACTACTGTTATATAAAGTCACCTCCGTGAACACATACTACTGTTATATAAAGTCACCTCCGTGAACACATACTACTGTTATATAAAGTCACCTCCGTGAACACATACTACTGTTATATAAAGTCACCTCCGTGAACACATACTACTGTTATATAAAGTCACCTCCGTGAACACATACTACTGTTATATAAAGTCACCTCCGTGAACACATACTACTGTTATATAAAGTCACCTCCGTGAACACATACTACTGTTATATAAAGTCACCTCCGTGAACACATACTACTGTTATATAAAGTCACCTCCGTGAACACATACTACTGTTATATAAAGTCACCTCCGTGAACACATACTGCTGTCATATAAAGCCCGTGGAAGGTCTCTGAGCAAAGACACGCTGCTAAGCTGAATATTGGAGAAGATCTGTACACAAGAAGGCGCTAGCTAAACTCTGTTAGCATCATAGCCGGCCGGCTACTTCCGGCCCGTCCGGTGCGCGTCAGGACATCTCGGTGTGAAGACCTGTGCGTCTGAAAACTAGAGAATGTGCGTCTGGTGAGCGGGGCTTCAGCGTTTCAGCGTTGGCGGTCTGAAAGCACCATTATGCTACTGTCACTTTACTGCACTGCTAAATGTTGTGTGTATATAGTATAGTTTTTTTTTGCCTTTACCTTTTTACTCTTACAACTTGTATGTACCTTGAGCTAAAGCAAATTCCTAGTTTGTGACTTCTTGTGATTTACAATGACGGAAGAAGCTGATTTGAACACACTTCTGCCACTCTGGGGCAGAGTGGTAGAAGTGTGGCTGCCTCTGATCTCTCTCTTGTCTGTGTGTGTGTCTCTCTCTGTGTGTGTCTCTGTGTGTGTCTCTGTGTGTGTGTGTCTGTGCCTGTGTGTGTCTCTGTGTGTGTGTCTGTGTGTGTGTGTGTGTGTGTCTCTGTGTGTGTGTGTCTGTGCCTGTGTGTGTCTCTGTGTGTGTGTGTGTGTGTCTGTGTGTGCGTGTGCGTGCGTGTGTGTGTGTTTGTGCAGAGCATTTGTTTCCGGGTGCAGAAGATGATGGAGGTGTACCGGCCCGACTGGTGCGAGAGCCGTGAGAACTGGTCCGTCTACCTGTTCTCCCCTCACAACAAGTGA